CACACTGCATCTTATAGTACATTTTGTTTTTAAAATAAACATACTAGATGATCAAAAAAAGAAATACAAAAACTGGCCATTGATTATGAATCACCCTTTCTTATCTATCTAAAAGGGTTTTTATAATCGATTCGATAGTTATATTGTTCAAAAACTATACGCCTGCAATAAATGCTGCAGAGATGGTACCGTTTATCAGCTGGCCGCTGATAGATTAGCCGACCCGCCTCTGTTCAGAGTTCTCAATTAAGGGAGGAAATGAGTGAGCTCTTTCAAAAGTTCGACTTTCTGATAATTTTTTATCACAGCATTTAAATAATTTTAGGTACAAGCCAGATTTTAAAACACTATCGGCCGTTCTCTGGCAGACAATGAAACAAAAATAAGCAAACAGTGTTGTTGGCTGTTGAATAGGATTTGAACAGCCTAGTAATACGTCGTCTATTATGAGAGAGACAGAATTTTACGGGATGTTGTTCTTCTCTCGGTCATCACTTCTAGTATCTCGAGAATAAGAGCACTTGCTGATGAATTTTTAGTCCCTTTCGACTTAAAAATTATCGATAACCTTGTTTCTACCTTTGTAATGAATGGAGATTATCGTCTTGAGATAATAGAGACGTTCATTTAACATTAAATGTACATTATAATTCTTTCTGAATATTAAATTTAGCAATACTAGTATGTAATAATAGATAAATTAATCAAACACTTAGTATTATCACACGAATGATTTCATATCTCGTTCTAGCTTGAAAATATTTTCATTTCGTTTCGTTCTAATGAATTTATTATTTTTTTTTGTTGAAGGTCTTTTAATCAGTTTTTCGCCAAGTTCAGATTTCTTTAAATATTCATCGCTCTGTATTTTTAATGTTATTTGGTGGACAATAGTTGTAAGTAACTATACAATATTGCTTTAATTATTCACAAAAAGAAATAAAAATTAAATATATAGATGGAATTATGGAAAAATTATACAAATAAATTAGCTTCTCAATGGGGTACATTAGATATAGAAACATTTGAACGACCTCGTTCACTTTATTATGGAGATCCACGACTTTCTCCAATTACAAATAAAGAAGAACCGCACTATCCATCGTAAGAATAAAACAAGAATATAAATCAATTATTTTATTTATTTTCTTATTTGTTTTATTTAGATGGAAACATATATTAAAAAAATATTTAGTTAGTTATCCATTAATGATAGTATGTCTAGCTTTATCATTAACAATGTATTTTACTTATTGTGATGTACAAAAATCAACAGACGAGAAATATCCATTCGATGGTTCAGTAGAATTTATTCATGCAAAATCTATGCGAATGGCTCCATCAATTGGTTATTCATTATTGATTGGACCAGTTAATTTAGCTTATAAAAGATTAGCAACATTTTTAACAGATTTTGGTAGACAAAAACAAAATTTTAATCTTAGAAAAAAAAAACGATTTTTCTTTTTTTTTTTTTATAGAAAATCATCGTCTTCAATCATCTTATGAAAATAATTTAACAGCAAAATTATTTATCTTTTTTTTTATAAATTGTTTTATTGGTTTGTTTTATCAAGCATTTTTTAATGCTAATTTTGAGAATGTTACACAAGTAAATAATTCGTTTAAATCTTTTTTTTTTTATAGTTGTAAAAAAACAACAGCAGTCTTCATTTTTAGTTATTAACATCAATGGTTATTGTTAATGCTATTCTATTGAAGTTCACTGAACAAATTGGTCCATATTTATGGAAGCTTCAGAAAAAAAAACAATTAGTTGAAAATCGATCATCTGATTCTCATGTGAGCGATGCTGTTAAACAATTAAAAACATTAACCCCATTTCAAGTATGTTTTACTACAGTATATATTATCTTCAACATTGGAATTATTTCTATAGGGAACATATGGAGATTATTTGACTATATTTGAACAATATGGCTATGTAGCTTTATTTTCAGCAGTAAGTTAAAAATAAAACTATATCCAAGGAAAATAAATGAGACTTAATCTATTGCAAATATAATTTAAAATAGATTCAAATAGATGGAACCAGTTTTTGTTTTAATGTGGCATAACGAAAGTGAAAGTTTAAAACCTTCTGTAGTCATTCATATGAAAAACAAACGATAGATTGTTTTAGATAGAATATATGTATATGAAAAGTTGAGATATTTAGCATACATATTATACTTTGAAAAAGTTACTCCCATTATCCTCAGATCTTCTCAGGAGATAATGTTGAGCAGTTAGTTCGAATCTAGACAGCGATTTTAACAGTTCATACAGTTTTCTATCTGATGCGTTCCGTAACAAGGTTTTATAGATGAACTAAGATAACATGATGTCTAAAAAACCCATCACGATACTTTTTATAGTCCTAGAGAACTTGTATCGGAGTTATTTTTTTAAACATTTCTATTTTAGAGAACGCAGTGACCAGTAATTTTCTGCTGTTTAAAATAGTGTTGTTAACAAATAACTCTGACAAAGTTTTCTAGGACTTGAACACTACCGTTATCAGTTTTTTAGAAATTCTGATGTGAAACGCATTAGATAGAAAATTTCATTCACTATGAACATCACTACCTGGATTGAAGTTAGACACTTTACATTATAAAGAAAAATCAAGTAATATGTTGTTATTCAACTTTTTTTTCATTATCTTATATTAAAACTTATAAAAGTTAGTCCCTTACGTCAACGAGATATATCTACGTTTCCTGGTATAGGATCATCTTGAGAGAATAATTTGAATTCATAAAATTTTCATGAATCACTTAAGATTACTTTCATGTCGGAAAAGAATCAAACTAATATACTATTACGCTTACTTCAATTATTTGACTACTTAATTCAAAATAAATAAATTATTAAAAGAAAAATTTTTAATTGATTAACATTTAAATATTCAATTAATAGTTAACATCATTCATATGTGAAGAGTCTTGCTTTTTGTACTTTGGATTCATATTGAAAGAACTGTCTGTTTTCATATAAAAAGAATTGATTCTATTTTTAAATCATTTTTTCAGGTATTTCCTTGGGTAACAATTTGTGCATTAGTCAATAATCTATTTGAACTTCGTGCTGATGCTTTTAAATATTGTCATGTTTATCGACGTCCATTTGCTCAACCAAGTTGGAATATTGGCAGTTGGCATTATGCATTCGATATATTAAGTTCAATAGCAATTGTAACTAATACAGCATTAATTGCAATGCAACCATCAGTTCGTGAATATTTTTCATCATATACTGACGTAGAATATATATTAATTTTTGTTGCAGCTGAAGTATATATATAAAATTTAATAGAATTATTCTTTTTATATAATATATTATATCTAATTTAGCATATACTCTTGGCAATAAAATTTGCTATTGATTTTGTTATTCCGGATGTACCGTATGAAGTTCAAATCGAACAAGTTAAAAATCTTTATGAATCGAATCAAGCTCTAAGACGTCAAGTAAGAAAAAGAAATATGTGTAAATTTGTTTGTTAGATAATATACGTTTTTTTTAACAGCGTGCAAATAAAGCATTACAAGCTCAAACATCAATAACTAGACTATAATATTTTATTGACTATCTTTTTTTGAATGTGCATGACACTCCCTTTGCTTGTTTGTATTTTAATCAATTTCTTGCAATTTAATTTTTTTTTTGTGTTTTTAATCAATAATATTGTGTTTTTACCCTTCTTAGAATATTTTTTTTTCTCCTTAAAAGCTATGATTCGCTTGTCAAAACCATTTAGTATTAAGCGCTTGATAACGAAAGCTCAACATCTATTATTTTATATATTCGAATATTTTTTTTTTAATAAAGAAACTCATTATACAAGAATTATTTTCAAAACAAAAAAAAAAACATTTGTTTTTCTTTTATTTGCTATTCAACCTAAGAAGTGATGATTCCCAAGTGTAACTCTCCATTTTCTATCAACTTTGTGTCAATTTTTAAAGTTCGATGTACTGATCACGATGACATAAAATGTTCTTCTTCCCTATAGACTGTCCTGGAGGAGAAAGACCGATCTCAAGTTTAGAAAAAATTACTATAAACTGTTAATTCTGAAACTTTAACTTGTATGTTAGTTAAGTTCTCAACATTCAAGGTTTCAAAGATAAATGCATCTTAGTTAACTGTATATATATCGACATAATCAAAATAAATACAAAACTCGAACCACATCTATGCTCTCAATATTCCAATATTATTAATAGGATGCATATACAAAGTTCAACTAATTTTTCAGAAAAAATTCAATTGTATCTTCATCTATTCAGTATATATATATATTAAAAAACATGTTGATTATGTTTTCAATAATCTACTTTATCGAGTACATTTTTTCATGTAAACATGCGATCAAAACAATGAAATAGAATACAGTCTATTAAAAACAAGATATCTGAAAAAGATCTAATTACAACGTCTTTGAAATAGTGTTTCGACACCAATCTTGATCATCTTTCAACAAAAAGTTGTTGAATTCCCGTAGATCCATAGTCTTCATGCTATAGTAACATTCAGAACATAGATGTTGTTAGAACTTCAATGTATTTTGATTTTATCAATGTGTACAGTTAATAAAGACACATGTAATGTTAAACTATTGAATGCTGAGAATTAAACTAACATTAAAAAAAAATCAAAATTTTAGAAATAATAGTTTCCATGAATTTTTTCTGAACTTAAGATTGACCTAGCTCTTAAAAGATAGTCTATTGGAAAGAATTCATTATGTCGTCGTGATCAATATATCGAACTCTATAAACTAACATAAAGTTGATTGAAAACGAAGACTCACACTTGGGAATTTTTATCTTATGGATAAAACTTAAGGTCATGCAATCACAGGAATGTTGTTGTAATTTATTCATAAGTATTTCTCATAATTGTTGACTGAATTAATTAAGATGTATTTATTTTATGTAAACGCTATGCTTGTTTTTTTTTTGTTTCTAGAATTATATTAAAAAATAAAAATCATGAATCGTGAACAAATACTTGAACAATTACAAATAATGATAAGTGAATTACCACCGTAAGATAATGATTTCTATTTAATGTTTTAAAGTTTAGATTAAATATTTGATTATCATTCATTTAGAAAATTACAAGAACGTTTTGAAAAAGATGATTTAAGTGATAAATTGATAACATTATTACTTGATGGATCTATATTTAATCTTGTTAATAATCTTCAAGAAAGTCAAGCACGTACTGAAAAAAATTTATTTAATGAACGACAAAAATTAATTAAAAAAGCTAAAGGTAATAGATTATATAATTATTTAAAACAAAAAAAAGACAGAAACACAGATCTTTCTTTGTTGTTTTTTGTTTAGATCAAGAAGCTGATCTAATTCGAAAACATTCTGAAGATGAAGCTCGTTGTGCTGATAGACCACAACATTTAAATCTTCTTCAAGCAGCAAATAAACGTGAATTTGAAGTATTAATTTTTTTTTTATTCTTTTAAAACATCTGAGATATAAAATATCTATTCATTCATAGGCATTTCTTAAAAGAGTTGCCGATGAACAGCAACGTTTTGATATGTCAATAGTTTTAGATCTAGATCAAAAAATGTTAGAACAACAAACAAGATTAGAAAAAGCTGGTGTACCATGTATGCACGCTACTAATAAACCATTAGATGTACGTCTACAAATGTTTATTATCGAATTTATTCAACGAATAGCAAAACAACAACATCTTTCTCCTGTAACAGAAAATTCCAATTAATACATATAATATATGTTGTACATTTCTTCGACTATATGAATAAATGCTGTTAATAATGTGTCTATAAAAAAAATAAAATAAAACTAGTAAATTTCAATTGATCAATATTGTTTTAGAACAAAGACTATACACTTTGTGCTAGAAAATAAAGATTAACTGCTAAAAAGAAGACAACAACATAAGAGACAACAGCAAAAAAAAAAAAAAAGAACGACAAACAAAAAAAAAGACGAGAAAAAGAATGTATAAACTCATTGAAATGGACGGATTGATTGATCTTTTATGTTTTTTATTTTAAATTTGTAATAATTATGCTGATTGTCCAGCAGCAAATCGTAAACGTTTATTTTTTTGTCGTTGATTACAAAACCAAACACGTACAACATTCTTTTTTAAATCAAGTTTATCGGCTATTTGTGCAATACGTTCACCACTCGGTCTTTGTTGTTGAAGAAAACATGATTCAAGAAAACGTTTTTCTTGTGCTGCAATTGATGTACGTTTTCGTTTTTTATCAATTAAACTTCCACTTGAACTAATATGTCCACTTATACCAATCATTGTTCCATTCATTTCATCTTTTTTTCTTTGTCTCATTTCTGCTTCAGCAAATTCTAACCAAGCTTGTAGAACAGGTTTTAATGCAACCATATTATTATGTGATAAAGTAAGAGATTCAAAACGACATATTGTCGATTGTGATAATGATCCAACACCAGGCATTTTTAATTTTGATAATTGTTGTCCAACATCAGCTTGTGTAACACCTAATTTAATTCGACGTTGTTTAAAACGTTCAGCAAATGATTCAAGTTCACGTGGATCAACATCAAGTTCATGTGGTGGTACAAGACTACCAACAACACTATGATGATGCATACCAACAACCATACTTGGTAAAACACCAGCAGCAGCTGCAGCATGATGATGAGCTACAGCAGCATATTGACGTTGATAAAATGGATGAAAATCAGAACTTAATTGACTATGATGATTATGTTGATTTTGATCTGATAATAGATGAGATTCTATTGATGATGTACCAGGATAAACATTTGTTGATGATGATGTACTTGCTGTTGCTGATGAACAAGCAAATGGTGATGGATAATAAAGTGATGATGATTCTGGTTTTGTAAGAGCTTCAGCTTGACGAAGAAAATTATCATCAATAGTTGGACAAAATAAACTCTATTTGAAAAATAAAAATTATTTTCTTTATATTTTATTTTCATAAAATACTTACATTGGCTTCAAGTTTAAAGCTATCACCAAAACAATTTGATTTTGACCACTAGAAAGAAAAAGAAGAGAAGAAAAAAAATGTTTATGTCTTTTTTTTTTGTTTTTTATGAAAAAAGAAAGTCAAATAATAATAATAATAACATACCGGTGTACTTGGCATATATCGTCGATTATTATGATCACTTGTAACAGCAGCTACAGCTGCAGCTCGATAAAAATTACTAGGTGAATATCGACTATTAGTATTTCCAATTGAATTTAAATTTGTTATTCCTGTTGATGTATTTGGAAATGAATGTTTACTTGTTGTTACTTGTTCAATAGATGATGTATTTGTATTCGTAAGCATTTTATTTATAATATTCATTTGAATTAATCAATAATTTACTTGTCTGTTAATTTTTCATTATTATTATCAATGAATCGAAATAATTCTTGACAAACTTCAATGATTATATATATATATATCTTTGTTGATGTTGTTTTATGTATGTACTAAATAATAAATAAATATATACATAGTTAAAAAGAAAAAAAAGAAGAAACGCATTCAATCATAATAATTTATCAATATTCATTCATTCACTCACATAAGAGAGAAAAAGAGAAAGATATAATCAATGTGTTGAATATTTATTGTTGTTGGTCTTTGCACTACTACGAGTTTCTTTGGTCGTGATAGTGAAGGTATGAGTTTTTTTTTCTTCTTCTTCTTCTTCTTCTCTTATGTGTTACTGCCGCTCGTTCCGTGAGTGATTAATGATAAATAAAAAATGAGAAAGAAACCTTTTTCTGCGATTAAATATGAGAGAAAGAAAAAAAAAAGAGGAAAATTTACCTGCAAATAGAGAAGAAAAATTCTTCTATTGGTTAAATATTATTCTCTTCAACCAATGAACAAAAACATAACATTCATACATCTGTCTGTCATCTTTAACAGAGTAAGGAGAGAAGATTTCCCCAAGCGCAAGCGACACGCAAGAGGACGATCAGTTAGATGTTCTTTCTCTATATAAGTATTATCTTCTCTCTTGCTTTAATTCAATTGAATTCGATTCTTTCGGTTTTTTTTGTTGTCGGGCAATGAGATAGGTAATAGAAGAAAAAAAAAAAAAAAGAATGATATAAATAAGTTAATACTCGTAAAAGCCCATTTAAACAAATGAACGGTGCACAATAAGCATCATCAACTATTCACGGTATTTTCTATTCTTTTATGTTGCTTTTCTCTACATGTTAAATAAAGAATATGTGAACACAAAAGAAAGAAAAAAAAAACGACATTTACATCTTTCATCAGGTTATTTTAATATTCAAAATTAACAAACAATAAAGATGACAAAAAAGAAAAAGATAATTTATTGAGTAGTGCGTATATCAAATTTATTAAAAAACAAAAAAAAAAAAGACTTAGATTAATTATCTAATTAAAGATTAAAATATTAAGAATATTTTATTTGTACGAACAGTTCATATAGATATTATTTTACAAGTTCATCATTTTCTTTTTTTCAATTTTATTTGATATGTACTCATCATTTATCTCTTTGATCTTATTTACTAGGTACTTGTTGAGATGTAAGATTTCCGTTTCTCATTAACTCAAAAATACAATCCTTATGTACTTGCCCTAAAGGCAATAACAAAACATAGACAGCCGCGTAGGTGAGAAAGAGAATCAATTTTTAATACATTGTTACGCATCAGATCGGAAGAAAAAGGTGCATGTGTGTTATTCTACGACTGATGGTGTGTTTGCTTGAAGTAAACTAGTTTTCAACTGTTTTCTGTTCAAATGAGAAAATGACCAGATGGAATTTGTCTTTCTTTTCTTTCATTTATAAAAACTATTGCTAATAATTGTGATCTCATTTCTGTTTCTTGTCTGTCGCGATGAAAATGAGGATGATGATGATGGTGATGGTAGTCGTGGTAGTTGGTGAAACACGCCCAACGCATTCATTCATATTTGTCACGTCACGCATCGATTCAATACTACTGTTGCTATGTCTATATGACATTGTCCGTTTGTGAGAGTATTCTCAGATGACACTTGAAGAGCAGAACATACAACTATAGCTTATCATAATTGTTCGACCGTATTGATTACCCTCCTTTTTTCTTTTTTCTTTTTTTTTTTTTCGCATGTGTCATTCTCTCTGGTAATGCTCTGCTTGTTGTGATAAGATGCATAAGATTTAGTTATAGGTTTTGTTGACATTCGGTGTTAGTTAGAAAACGAATCAAAAAGATTGTGTCAATCATTTTGTCGGCGAATAGCTTCAAGCAATGAATTAAAAAAAAAAAAGAAACAAAAAAAACAATATTCTTTTTCTCGTTTGTCTTTATATGTATTTATGACCAGATGGAAAGAAGAAAACAAACGAGAAAGTATTCTCATCGATCAATTTACCTGTAATGCAATAGACTACAATGATGAGTCCCTCGATACTTTGTCTTTCTCGTTATTTTTTTAATTTTGACGTGAAAAAAAAAGAGTAGTAATGTATGCGTACATTTCTCAAGAGAACATTAAAAAAATGGAAGGCGGAACTGGGTCACTCAACATTGTATGTTGAACTGATCGATTAGACAAGATAACAGATGGTAATCGGATGGCGATGACGCACCTTACTTTCGTATATCGTTTTTTTTTTTTTTTTGATGTGAAAAGTTACTCACGAGAAGAACAACAGTTATTATTTTGAGTAGAGTTTGCTCTTTGTTTCTTCGTTGGCCATCTGGTAGTTGTGAGACCACTTGTCGAGTCACGAAATAGTCTTTCTTTCTTTCTTATTTTCATATACAGAAAGAATAGATCTATAAATGCAATTGGTCAGGAAAAATTTTGTTACACTAAGACAAAAAAAAAAACCCATTTTAATAAATAATCAGATATAATGTGTCGATCAAATGTTTCTGCTGAGTACATTCCAATAAAAATGACTTGATGCGCGGCATATTTCTTCTTAAATGGCATAATTAAAGAATTAAACGTTTCGTTCTTTTGTACATTGATTAACTATTGTTTGATTGTATTCGAATATATTTTAATAGAGAAAAAAATGTTCAAATAGATATCGTATAAGAATATCTATTTATTTTTTTTTTTGGTTTTCATTTTATATCAGAGTAAAAGTCTTTTTTTTAATGATTTACGATCAATTCTAAGAAGAAACCTCACATGAAAAAACCAAAATTTATAAACAAACAAACAAACAAGAACGTGTGGAGCATGACGCACTAGCCCTTTCCTTGTGAAATTCGACTACATAACGCCTTCCTGATTTTGAAAATTGTTCACGCAGCGTCTCGTGCCTCCAGTGATGATCTACGTCTCTAGAAACAAATTATTTTTAAGCTAAAATTAGGTATTCCTTAGATTGGAAAATTTTCATCAGCTAGTTGTCATCGTATTAAAAACCCAAGTGCTAAACTATTTTATTTATGTTTTTGTGGTTTGAATTACGCATGACAAACAAAATAAGCTTCTAGTGTTCTATTGCAATGCTTATTATTTTATAAGAAGTTATAGATATATATATATACGGACGAAAATTGTGAAATATATCTGAAGATAATTTAAAACAAAGAAAATTCTGAATACATGATCTTATTTCATATGTAAGAAGCATTATGAACTCAAATTAAAACACAGCTTAGCATATGTCAATGGGTATTTTTATTTTCAATTCGTGTATTAAAAGTAAAGAAAATTGGTTTAAGATGGTAATATAACTGTATAGCAGAGTTTA